GAAATCGGGCCTTACAGTATTAGCTGTCAACTGTTGCGTACATTTGACGTCAATGAAAGTACTCACTTATCACTCGAACTTGTCAGCTGAAGCGACACATCGCTCTACAAAGTGTTAAAAAATATGCAGTTATTCCCTTATATTTTACTTTCTTTCTATTCTATACAACTACACAAACGTCTCTTTTTTTAATTAACTCTCAAACTGCAATAGACCTAAAAGTCGTGAACGTAATTAATCAGATTAAGAGTTAAAAAAGCACTTTATTCTTTTTCTACTATTTCTTGTAAAAACATGAATAAAACATTTTCCAATTGTGATTTAGATTAGCTGAAGATGATCAGAATAAACGATCAAAACATATCTAACATTAACTGAGTATTTTTTATCTCGTCAATGTCTTTTCTTAATATTTTTCTTTTTAAAACATTTGCTCTAATATAGAAATCAAAATTCTTTACGTAATTTGACGGAGAAAGAGATGAGAAATACAGGCAAAAACAATTTGGTTTTGCCCGTAAAAGAAGAACAAATAAAGAAGAGAAATAGAGATTGTAAAAAGTTAAAATAATGTGAAAACAATCTACTCAAGAAAGAGCGCAGGTTTTTTCAACAGGACTTTATCTTTTAATTTAAGAATCATGCGTGAGAACTCACTGACAATCAATAAGAGTTGTCGTTTTGATTAAAAAAAGGAAACCCAGTGTAACTTTGAAAAATGAGAAAAGATAGTAAAGTAAGATTGAGTACCTACGGCCACTTCCGCTCTTTCTTCAGGCCAATTTTCAGGTAGAACATCAATGCCAAAATGTTATAGGTTAACACATTAGATGTACGTATCCTTTTTCAAATTTCGTTCTATTTGATCTCTTGTGTTGTTCTCACGCTTATTTGGAAGAGATAGTCATATTTAAAATTTTTTATTTTTCTCTCTAAATTTACAGACAGTATATTTTAATAATAATATATAATCTCGATCACTTCCCGAACAAAAGTTTTTACTTCATTAAAAATTGAATTAAATATTATTTTAGACATTTGAATTACATATTCTCATTATTTTTCATTTTTTTCAATTAGAAAACGTCCGCGACGGAATTTTGTGAATACTTGCTCGAATGTGAGCGTTACTCATATATATATACATATATATTTAAATGAGATGAATTTTGCTTAGAAGTACGGACCTGTGATCGTTATCTTCGATACCTGTCGCCCAATTTTTTGTCTAACTAAAAGAAAGTTTTTTTCTAACTAAAAGAGTTTTTCATTGATTCCGAGAATTTTAGCATCGACATCTCGGTGCGCATTGAAAAGATGTCGCGAAAAACGTACCGACAAAGAGAGACAGGTATCTACGTATTTTTAGGGTAGTTAAGAGAGCCGGGATTTAGGAACTTTTTTAGGACTTAAAAGCATTGTATATGAACACACGCTGCTCAAGGTTTCTTTGTAGGGGTAAAGATGTAAGTAAAAGATCTTCAAAAAGGCTCTTCTCTATGTATCTCTCTGTATATTTGTCTCTTTTCGTGCTCTTCCCACGAAACATCTCCGAACAATTACAAATAATTGCGTGAATAAATCATTCGTAGTTGTCTATACGAAATTTATTCAAATTACCGTCGCTCATGTCACGCTTCTGGCTTAATTAATTAGCTTTGCTCGCGTGAATTTTCTTCTGCTGCACGAGAAGAAAAGATAGATAGATAGATAGATATATAGATAGAGAGATAGATAGATAGATAGTAGCTTTATTTGTTATAGATGTTTATAGGTCTTCAAGCGATGAAAAGACGCGAGTTGCAGCGGAGTTGATCTGTTCATTTCAGGAGAGAGTGCTAAGGGTTATACCTAGATAAATCACAGAATCTTTGAGAGAGAGAGAGAGAGAGAAAAGAAAATCAAAAGTTATTTAATTTTCTGTGCCTTGGTTATGTTAATTTTTTTTTGATAGTAATAATAAAGTGTGCTATCTTATCAATGCGTGCGTAAAGTCAGAAAAAAATATACATATGAGTAAACTGGAGAGAGATACAACAGTTAATTTTTTTATTAAGTTTTGCAAGAAGCAAAAAGACGTACGACTGTGTAACCTTACCGTGGTACAATTTAAATCTTTGTTTATACTCATGCAAAAGAGAACAAAAAGTGTACAACGTGTATAAACAAGTGAAATTAGTGAAAGTATAACATCATGCAAATATCGGTAAAATGTCACTAACTGTGTTGTGTAAGACAATCGCGTCGCTTCCTCAGTCGTGTAATGAAAGCAAAGCTTTTCGTTCGTTGAAAAGTTATTAAATTGTCTTATTATCATATTTTATTACTATTTTATGAATATATTATCAAATTTTAATTGTTAATATAATTTATAACAAATGTTACGTTAATTTTGATCATCTTGCGGCTTTTTTATTTAATGCAGTTGTCAAACATCAAATTTTTTACACCAATTTTTACGCCAAACTTTTTATTATAAGATTTTACTTAACTTTTTATATAAGATAATATAAAAAAAAAACTCTCTCTCTCTCTCTCTCTCTCTCTCTCTCTCTCTCTCTCTCTCTCTACTCTCTCTCTTTTTATTATAAGATATATACATTATGCTGTTTCTATAAAAAAAGAATAAGAATGTCATGTTCGTTGAGAAGAACGATAGTGTAGTTCTTCGTTAAGTTTACTTGTCAAAAAAATCTTGAAAATGCCCGAGTCGAAATTTTGATGCTACTTTCAAACTTTTGAAGATACTTTGAACCTATTTAACTGACCAATATACTTATTTAAACCTACTTTGACACTTATATTCATTTACTCCTCTTTTGAACCTTTAATTCTATAAATTTTACGTTACTCCTATTTTGAACCTACAAAACCTACCTCTCGATATTTTGGTGATTGAACATTTTTTAACATAAATGTAATATAAAATATATTTGATAAATATTTTTATCTATTGTTGCAGATACATTGCACTGCATTATTTCTAATAAAATAATAATCTAAACAAATAATAAATAAAATGTGTATAAGATAGCTTGAGAATAAATAGATAAAAATAATCATATTTTATTAAAAAACAGATGGTCTTGCAGACTGAGTGCAGGAGCTGCAAATACGACGAAGGGTCTCGAGTTCGAATCCCCGTCAATTTTTTTATTGACGTTTTAATTGAACCTATTTTACTACTTTAGCTCCTACAAAAATAGAACCTACTTTAAACCTAACTTGGAGAAAATGGAAATTTGTGACACTTTTAGGTTGAAAGTAGGAGCAAATTTTATCCTTGCAATTGAACCTACTTTACTATCGTAACTCCTATATATAGTAGAATGAGAGGTTCATCAGAGAGTCAAAATTTCGACTCGGGTGGTTTTTTGTGAGAAAAAAGTAACGGACCCACGTCAGATCATGAGAATTGCACACAACGCGTCAGGAATTCGAAGACGAGCCGTAGGATCGGAGGGCAAGCGGAGCGGTTGCTCGTCAATAAAAGCCGTACGAATCGCTTGCCCTCCGATCCCCGCGCCTACTCTTTGAATTCCTGACGCGCTGTGTACACAACTCAGGTCATTTTCTTCTGTCATTGTATTCCACTAGTTTTTTTTCTTTCGGAAAAATTCGGAGAAGTCAATCGTCATTCCTGCCATTTCTAGTCTTGCCATTTCTAAACGATAAAAAAGGTCAATGAACGAGCAATAAGTAAAAGGTAAATAATATACTCCTAAATAATAGACTCCTGGCTGAGGAGTTATTTTCGCAATATTTTAAAATTAGTTAGGGGGGTATACGGGGTCCTTCATATATACGTGATGCAAATCCAGCATCCTATATGGAGGAAAAAAATTATTTCATTAAATATATGTGTATGCATATATATATATATATATTTAAGCACATTCTCTGCACAACATCCTGCAAACCGGCTCAAACAACCCGAATTTAATTCATTCATTAGTAAATAATATAATTCTATGCTTGTTAGTAAATGTATATTTAGCTTAAAAATACGTTCAAATCGATGAGATATTGTATTTTATTATTAAAAATTGTGAGAGAAGATAAAGGGAGAGAGAGAAGATAAAGAGAATTTCTTTGCAAATCTACCAACTAATATTTAGTCCTTTTCGCTATATTGTGCGAAAACTTTTGTGTAAGAGAAATCTTTTCGAATGAAGTGTCTTGACAGAGTCGATTTCCTTCCCAGGTTTCAGACTCCAGTATTTTTCTTGTAGAAACTAAGAGACATACCTAAGAGACATTGTTCCTTTACCGTTTTTTTTCTTTAACAATGATCTTCTGTCATGATTTTCTGACATCTTTCAATTTCCTCTAACAATGATCTTTTTCAAATTTTATGTTTTCGATTCTAGAAAATTATTTACCGCCCTATTCTTTGAATATTCTATGCTTAATCTTTCTCGTCTATTTCTCGAGATCTCGAATTAGATCCGTCTAGAGCGGTCGCGACTTCCGCCAACGTCGCGGGTGGAATGCCACTTGCTCACGCTGACGAACTAGTTTACAGCGAGTGACAACTAAGACGAGAGAAAGATAAATGGTGTCTCGTTCCTTTTGAACATCTCCGAGTGATGCTCGTTCTGCTTAAGCTGTCGATTAATCGTCCCAACTGGTTATTGCTTCAACGGTATACTTAATTGCGTAACCGTGACTGGACTCTCGCACGGAAGAATAAGAATCGATCGTTTTCACGGTACACGAGCATAAACTCGAACTGTCGAATTTTCTCATTAAACATTTATTTACTCTTTTTTTTTGCAAACTTTTGTATTCAATTTCTGAGGTAATTAAAGCGTCGCGAATATATCACACACATACGTGCGTTGATAATCGATTCATCTCCGAGCAATTTCCGGTCGATTGATCCACTTACAGCTTTAAACTCAAAATAACTCGCGTCAGTGGCGAAATAAATGACACGCGTGTTGAAAGAGCGTGTATATATTGTTTTCCAATTAAATAAAACAAAAGTGGCGAATAATCGTACACGAAAAAAAGACAAACTTTGTTATTACATGTGGCCAAGTTTACTGAATTTTTTTATGTCGTTAGCAAAATGTCTTGCCGGCAAAGCAACAAATTTGATAGACTCGGCGCATTTTTCTCGTCGGCCGTACGAGTAACAATCTAATCTTGTTATTTTAGCAAATATTTTTTTCCGTGTATAAATTTTTAAAATTACTCCAGCAGATTTATATTTGTCCAGTCGATAATTTGACTTAAAAAAAAACGCCGTTATAGAAACATTAAGCAATTAGCGAATCCTTTCCGAGTCTCGAACGATCTCTTGATATCTCGAGAGTCTCACTCGGCACATGTCTGACTTCATCGCTTCGCGTACGAGTTGTGCGACTGTTTCTTCATTTTGCTCCGCTATATTATGTAAACGTATCACGAAGCACCTCGGACGGAACTTCGTTTGGTAACCGGGTGATTAATGAAATAGAAAGGTGATAGAAGACTCTCTTCTATTGATCTTTCGAAGCACGTGCGTATGCGGCGCTCGATACGCGCTTGGTTCTTCTCTCGAAAACGTAACTTACACATACGTGCGCTTGTGCCAAAATCACATACAGACACACATACACACACACATACACACGAAATACATTTGCAGTTTACGCTGCGCGAAACTGCGCGTCTTTGTTCATTTTATTCATTTTTGACACCGGACACGCGCAGACATATCGACCGTTACTTTCGCAGCCCGAAACTTTCCCGAGCACTCTCATTATTTCTCTTGTAATTACGGGCGATTCTCCCGGTGTCTCCGCAGGTGTACAAAAGCCTGGACATCATTACCGCGAAGGTGACCCCGGCGGAAAGACAAATGGCGCCGCATCACATGCTGGACATCGTGGATCCGCTGACGAACTTCACCGTGACTGACTTCAGAAACAAGGCCCTGCCGATTGTAATCCTCCATGTCATCCATGTCTCATTTTTTTTCCGCGCTATCAAAACCAGACGGTATTTGTTTGCACGTGGCACTGTAACAACTGGAAAGAAGATTGCGCGTTACATCGAATGATTATTCCGGAGATCTCGCAATTGTTAACACTTCGCGGACAAACTTCCGAAAATGACTTACGAATCAGTCTGTGAGACTTTAACATCAATTATCTCCGCGAAAAATCAATTGTTTTTCAATTTTATTTTTTTTTTGAATCGAAAGTTTGAACGATTTTGCGTCAATCGACGAAACAAATCGAAAAACTCTCTAGTAGTTTCGAAGATGTAATCGAAGAAAAACTAAGTTTTACCAGAAACGTCAATTTTTGAGTGGGAAGCTCATGTTTGTCCGCGAAGAGTTAACAAATCAGTTCAGCGCGATATCAAGTCGGGCAATTACCGCGTAAACATTTAATTTACTTCGATATTAGTAGGTCGCCGACATCGTGTAACATCTGTCCGAGAGATTACACGCTAAAAGAGTCAAAACTTCGCCAAACGAACGAGTCATTCTCAATGTTAATGAAAGACGCACAAAGAATGGTTAATGAATCGCAGATGTCGCGAAAGATATGTTTTTTTTTTGTTTCGCGGTGCGCGATTTAAAGATTGTAATTACGCCGAGCGGGTGGTTTCGCGCGTGGTTTCTATCGCAATGGCTTCACCTCGCTCGCGCGAAATGGAGTTTATAAAATAAAGATCTCGAACGAAGCCAGTCCAATCAAAACGCCCTCCCCTCTGATCCTCGCGAAGACCTTGATACGATCATTAGCCACGGTCTCTCGCGCGGATCGCTCGAGCCTGTTCTCGGTCTCCCCTCGACGACTGTTCCTTTTCCTAACGATGTAGATAGACAACCTGCTGGCCAGGAGCAAACTGCCCATTGTCGTCGGCGGTACAAACTATTACATAGAGTCTTTGCTATGGGAGATTCTCATAACCGAGCCGAAGGATCGATCGGCGCGAGCCGAATCGGCTCCGGGCGCGTCGGTCGCGAACAGATCGGACGATCGATGTAAAGACGAACAGAACGATGACGATGACGAGGACGACAACGACGAGGCGGCGCCGTCGAAGAGGTTGAAATTCGACGCGAGATTGTGCGGCGACACCAACGAAGAACTCCATCGGAAATTGATGGAAGTCGATCCGGAGATGGCACACAAGTTGCATCCCAACAACAGGCGAAAAGTCACAAGGTAAGATTCGAAGTGCGGGAATTGCAACCGGATCGAAATAAGGAAATTGAATCTGACATCGGCAAATATTTCAAACGAATAATCGATTAAATCGATGACGAATTCGCATTGCGCAACGCTACTTTCGATTAAAAAAAAAAATCTCGTCATTCGCAGCTACATCTGCGATACACCGAAGGTTTAATTATACGATTAGTCTTTTTGTTGAAGTAGTCAGAGATGTGACACCTCGGCGAGAGACAACCTGTCACATCCGTCACGTTGAATATCAAAAGAGACGGACGTTAATCAGGCGGTAAGGTAGTTGCTCTGCACGATGTGGTAGGTGCGTGTTAATTCAACTCGTTGAATTCATTAGCATTTTTTCGCCCAATTCGCCGTGCAAATAAGTCTCAAGGCGACGAGACGTAAGATCGTCCCCGAAAACGTTACAAATTTAGACATCGTTGTCTGCGACTGATAAAAATTCTGACCTATATTCGCCGAGACGCGAAATCAAGACTATCGCGCAGTTATCGGTCTTTATCAGTTGTCCGGCGTGAAATCGCGCGTGCGAAATAATAACGGTCGAATAAAAAATGAAAATTTTACGCTCGGAAACGAGCGACAGTTCTTTCGAACGATTGTGACATTTGCTCTTAGAAAATTATATAATAACGTAATTATGTAATAATTGATAACACAATTCGGAGAAGAGTAAGAGAGATAACGACGAGAGTCGACACACCTGAGTCGATCGTCTCGTCGAATGAGCTAATATTTGATTAATTTTTCCGTATTATTAATCAGTTAAAAACCTTTTAACCCAAAAAAAAGAGAAAGAGATGCACTCACGAGATGTAACACACACTTGCGAAGCTCTTTATCCGAATGAAAATAACGCTCGTTAGCAAAGAGGATCGAACAAGATCTCGAGCGATAACATTTTAGCCTGGTTTCGGCGATATGCATCCACTTGTTGTGTACATCGAATTGTCGCGGATTACAGCGGATGTGACGATATAGATAGATAAGCATACAAAGTCTGAAGCTATTGTTCTCGCAATTGAATAATTAATTAAATGGACTCGCGCGCTGCGCAGTAATATTGCAAGTCCTTGATGATAATTTCTACTACTACAAAAAAAAAAAAAAAAAAAAAAAAACAATTTCCAACACGATACGATAATTTAAAACGTTTTTACACGATGAAGTCAAATGTCATTTAGGCAGCGAATAAATTCAGCAGATAAATTTCGAATTTAGAGAAAGGATTGCAGAGAGAGAGAGAGACTTTTATTGACACAGTTTGGTTGATAGATAAAGAATCGATCTTTTTTTTTCGATCTGTTTTTTATCAATTCAATCGACACCGTTTTGTGCTCGTCAAACTCTATAGTAGTCAACTTGCTTTGGACATCGGAATTTCTTTCTTTTTCTTTCTCTCAGCATCAAACGATGCGACAAAAGCGGATGATTATGAAAACGGATACGAAAACGCTCTCTCGAATCCTTATATTGTTCGACAATACTCGGCTTATACATATATCGACGTTCTCATATCATTGTGAGATTATATAACCGAAAAAAAAAAAAATACGTACAGATTCTTCAAGTCGCTTTTAATTTATGGCAACCTTTCGAGTGATTTATCTGTTACTCTGCCCCAAACACAATCGGCTGATAACGCACAACTGTGTCGTAACTGTAATCGTAGGTCAGTAAAAAGACTCGGTTACGAAATCTCTTCTACTTTTGCGTCTCGTTACATCAGCGAGAGAGTATATCAACACACTGTGTGTATGTCACTTCCAACACAAGCGATCAAGTTTTTGTTCTCCGATTAGGAAACGGTTTAACTGTTACGATTAATTATGTAAATGAAGTGATATTTTGTATTGTTGCCGCGATGATTTGATTTTTAGTTTTGCAATCTGGTTTTTTTTCTGTAGAAAAAGAGTATGAAAAAAACCTCGTGATTTCAAAAAGAAGAAAATTCTTTTGAAAAGGTCCTCCATAGATGGTAGCCATTTAGTAATATCGGATTTAGTATTCTGAGAAAAAGAGATATTATGAAGGAGAGAGAGAGAGAGAGAGAAATTTACAAGTTGATTAGGTTTGGGACCTTTTTAAAAAATGAAAAAATGTCGGATTTATTATAGAATTCTGGAAACAATGGATATTATGAAGTTACCTCTTTCTCTGTAAGATGACAAAAAGTCATCAATCAGAATAGTCAATACGTTATTGAATAGTTATTGAATAATACACGTTATTGAATTGAACTTATTCAATAGCAAAGTTTTTGATTTGCGTCGAAACTTTCAGCGAATTCGATAGCCTGCACTAGTGCGCACTGAGTGCGACTTTCAATGGGAAAAGTCCGGTGCACACTAGTACAGGCTATCGAATTCGCTGCTCGGGGATCACGTGGTTATATTCGTTTGTGGTTTTGAAATTAATTGAAAAAAAAAAAATAAAAATATATATATATATATAAATGTCGCACGCGTCTGTGGTGTAATCTTTAAATATTGGAGAAACTTTTGTGCTCTCGGTGAATGTAGGTCCACCGGATATTATTAATGCACCCTACTGTACGCACGGATAACGATCGATGCCGAAGGATATCCAGCGCGCGCGCGCACACACACAAGTGGCCAACTTCTTATTAGCATTATGCTTATTAGCACGATAAGATTACGTACCTAACCGTGTATCACGCGATAAAGAGGGAAGTTAAGCATATATAACGCTCAAATTAATACAAAGATTTTAAACATTTCTTTTTTCTCTGTCGTTGGATTTAAAATTATAATTTGTGGATGGAAATATTTGTTAATCGTTTTGCTTTATTATACGAATTCACAATTAATTATATATCCCTGTTCGCGCGGTTGGGAAACTCGATGCATCGTTCGAGCATCGGCTGACTAAATGAAATAATTATTGGGTTGGCTAATACGTAATGAGAATTCATTAATTCCAGAATTCTATAATAAATCCGACATTTTGTCATTTTTTAAAAACGTCTCAAACCTCCTTAACGATCAACCTGTAAATTTTCTTCATAATATCTCTTCTTTTCAGAATACAAAATTCGAAATTACTAAATGGAAATTCGAAATTACCTACGGTGGACTTTTTCAAAAGAATTTTCTTCTTTTTAAAATGACGCGGTTTTTTTATACCCTCTTTTTCTACAGAAAAAAAACCAAATTGCAAAACAAGAAAACTGACATAGGTTAGGTTAGAACATAGGTTAAGTTAGGTTAGGTTCGGGTACGAAAAATTTGGAAAAAGATTAGAAATTAACTTTCAGGCAAAACTTTACAATGGCCACCAGGTGAATAACCTTTTTTATCTCTTTGTAGGAACGGAACCTAACCATCTTGTCTCGTCTCGGTTCTCTTGCGATAACCCTAACCTAACCTAACCTAACCCTAACTACAGAATATCCTACCTATCTACAGAATGTGTGGTACATACACAATGGATGCAAGTATCCAACCAGCTGTCATACTTTTTTTTTGTTTATTTATCCCGATGTGAACCGCATGACGCGGTCGCTTTATTCGTGTATAATTTACTAGCTTGCACTTCGGAGAAGCACTTCGGATAACGAGCATTCAATTAACCTTCCGCCTGGCGCTTCTTTGTACGCGGTCAATCGCGTTGCGCGCGGTGATTGCGTGAGACTTTATTATTAAAGAGATATGATTTTCTTGTGCGGGGCGCGACCACCGCGCGCGAACTTAATCTTCGATGACGCGACGATCACCATCAATCTTTGACGACGCGTTCTTTGATGTGAGAGAAAGTGAAATTTTATTTAATTTACTCAAATAGAATTTTATTTAATTTATTTCAAGCCCGGTAGCCGGTAATTTATTTTAAAAGCGGTTTTCGCCGCGCGTCGAGTTCGCGTGTGTTCCAATTTGCCTGTTACATGTAATTTCTCCGTGTTTAAATAATTCACTTAGGCGGAAGTCGTTTAAATTTGTTTATCAACGCGAGCTCGACAAAAACGTGAAACATTTATTTCCCGTATGTTCGTCGCGATATTAGAAACACCGTCGAAAGATCAGATCCCTTTTGACGATCCCTTTTGAGTTTATTCTCTTTACGAGGAGGACGTCATTATTGCAGATAAATAGGTAGGTATTACAAAGCGTCTCTCACGATCGTCTCGCGCCTTGCAATTTACACTTTAACTTTTTAATACTTCCTACATGTAATAATATACATTTTTGGCACATTAGTTCTTATTTTTTATTTTTTTACGAACAAGTCCCGTTGAGATACACGAGCATTTTTTTCCGAAGTGAAAGTGCTGTAACATTTCTCTCGGTTCTTTGTTTTCACGAATTTCTTGGGGTGCAAAACTTTAAAATCCGTAAATCTACACGTTCGCATCTAACGAGACTTTCAGGAAAATAAATAACGTTGCTTTTCTTTTTTCATTCCATAAAGGAAATAATTTTTTTGCAATTTTTGACGCCAGGTTTCCCAAGGTTAGGTACTTGTATAATAACAAGAAAAAAAATTTATGACAGTTATAAATTACTATGCCCACATTTGCGCGGGAGACCGGAACGAGAAATGTTTTATTGTTGAACTGAGAAGCTTATGTGTGTGTGTGTGTGTGTCTGTTTGTTTGAAAAACGATTAATGAATTATTCAACGTAAGAGATGTCTAAACTGTTGCTCTATGTGAGAGTTAAAAATGTAACAATATGACATATCGTTTTCATATCGAAGATCATTAGTAACTCGTGAAGTAAGTGAATATTTGTAGGAAAAAAAAAGATTAACAGGAATAATACTTTAGAAAGAAGATTAAGAAGACTTAAGATTTTTCTTTACTTTAAAAAGATTTGTATTATATTTTGAAAGATTTAAAAAAGAAGATTAATAAGGTAATATTTTACGATTTAGCTTCAAAAGTGACGTTTTGACAAAAATACAGCTTTGTAGTTTTCTTTGTAGTTTTCTCAAAGAAACGCTTCATTAGACATTCT